AGAGAATTGATATCAAAAAAAGATTGCTCCAGAGCATAAATAAGCAAAGTAAAGATGAAATTATTGTTTTAGATAATTTTAAGACATTTTGATAATTTTGGAAAACCAATCCTGCTTATGTTTGTTATGTCAAGTAGCGATAACAATCAAATCAATTATCAATGCATCAGACTTTGATCTAAAACTTTAAAAAATTTTATTCGTTTAATCAACAAATGTAAAGTCAATGCCCCTCATTCATGCATATTTTTAAGCTAAATGAATTTTATTTTGAAATTGAAGAAAATCGTTTTGTGTGAATATTTATTATAAACATCGCTTTGAAATTTTTCGTAATCACATCATAATTGAATTAGTAAAGATTTATAATTATGCATTTTTTATATACCGAAAAACTTATTGTAAATTCATTAACTGATAATTAGGACATTGACCTTACTTTTTTAATTTTTAATCAATATTTTGTTCGAAATTTATATAAAATGATCAAAAATACCAACAACAAGCATATGGATAAATAATTAGAGAGATTTTTTTTGTTACGTCAAAAAAAAAAAAATCTGTGGCAATTTGTAAAATTTTTTAAAGTGTTAGATCGAAGTCTGATGCATTACTAATTCATTTTATTATTCTAATGGGCTTTCAAAAAGACTACATACATATTCATGCATTCATATACGATATTTTTTTTTTGTGAACAATATCTTAAGAATGATTTAAGATATGAAGTTCGTGTTAAAGCAATTTAAAAGATAATGGAGTGGAGAAAATCTGAAAAGACTATATTTTTTTAAGAAACTGTAATATAATGGTAAAAAACCAAGTTTTTGTGATACATTCTTTAACCAAAACTGATAAAATAATATATACATATATGTATAAGTCAGCAATAATAGCAATTATTATTAGTAGCTAACGACTACTTTTAAATGGTCATTGTTATGAACTTTTATTTCATTAGGATATTATTTTTTTATCTTTAACAGATTTTTATTATAGCTGTAATAGATTTTTCTTTATTTTATTATACTGCAGAGTCTAATCTGCAACTGTACCTGATTTTTTTTTGTTAATGCTACAAAAAAAATTTACAGCTGCAGAAGATTGTTTTCGATATACAAATCAAATCGTTTTAAGATCTCAACATTATAGTATACTAGGTACTTCAAAAAAATCTTTGCTGCTTAGATATTCCGACTTATATAAAATTTCCAAATATTTAATGATATAAAGCTGACACTAGAAAGGATGTTCAATGTCTAAGTGATTTATAAGCCTTTATGCAATTTGTGCCGAACTTCACAATGTCAATACTTACCTGTAGGCGACAGTTTTTCTAGAAGTAGTAGCAAGCTAACATAAATCTGCACTTTCACATGACGTGTTCAGATGGTTAGCGTTCTCTACCATGCATAAATTTTACGAGATCCGTATATATATACGAGTAAATGTATGTAGAAATGACCACAAAAAGAACAGAACAACATGAGAAACGAGAATATGATGAATAGAAAAAATTGCACTGAAATGACTATTCTACGCATAAACTTCATTAAAAAGAAATGTATATGATAGCCACCTGCAGTTTAATGTTTTGGATATTACGGTAATAAATTATGCACATTATAAATAACACTTCGACCGATGGGAATACTTTGATTATCATACAGTAGTTCTATGTTTTTAGTTGGAAATTTTATCACGTTTTTCATTGAAATTATTGTTACATTCGATATGTGTCCTCGAGTATATTAAGTTATATGGTCCCTAACTGTATATTTTTTATTGCTGTAAGTTTTTATGACTTTCAATGTGTAAAAATCCATTAAATCTTTAAAAATATCTATTTTTCATACAAACAGTTTTCAACAATTTTTGAGCATGCTATAAAATAGAGTTATTGTGAAAGTTTTTTGTACACTAACATAAACATATTTGATAGAGTGAATATGTATCCCTGTTCATTTTTGAACTATTAAGAAAAAAGATTACAAACAATATCAGAGTATGGTATCAAAATGTTGTTGAAAACTCGAGTACAGGTAATTTAAAGTTCTACATTGTTGGATCCTTGCATGTACCTACCGTCGCACTTACCGACATTTTGTGTTTTCTATTTCCAAGGCTTTGTAATCTATACTACCTTGATAGCTGGATTAAAATGTTGAGAAACTGAAATTATCATACCAAAAAAGACCCACAGGCTGTAAAAATTATGCATCAAGTTTAAATAACGAGGACAATAATCTTTGATCTTCAAATACATGTTTTTTGACAAGAATTAAAGATAATTTTTAATAATCAGAAAAATAAAAAAATAAACTGAAAAAGAAACCAAAAAAGATAGGGAATATTTGATAAAAAATTTGGACATGAAAAAAATAATCGCATGAAACAAAAATTTGGGATTTTAATTGCAGTTAATTTGCTACACCAAAAAGTTGGCGTGGGTATTACAACGCGTCTATGACAGTGAGGCTATAGGAAAGACAATAAAGTGTGTAACGTTAAAAATAATCAATTGCAATGATTTTTTCTAATGATAAAAATAATGTAATACCGCAATCCCAAATTTTTAGTGTATCATAATTTCACGTTTTTTTTTACAACAACTAGCACAGTACAAAAAGCACAGTATAATAAACGAAACCTACAATCTGTTGATAGGTATGCCCTTGAAATTTCATTTTTTTCTGTTGTCTCTTACTATTCTCGAGACATGAGCATTTACGGATCAAAATGTTGTTTTATTATAAAGAAAATGTAAAAAAATTATCTTATGAACTCTGTATATCACAGAATGAAATAAGAACACTTAATTAATTATAAACAAAACAATTAAATTCTTATTAATCACTATTAGGAGTGAATTATTTATTTAGTTAATAATTAATGACAATCAACTAAATATGGATGCACCATGAGGTTAAGGGTCAAAAGTATGATCCTTCTGTAGATACATCCCTCCATTTTCATTATTTTTGCTCTATCTCTTCCTGTTCACGAGATATGAGCATTTGTATAAAAGAAGTCATTGATTTATCTAGCTGATCTTCGTAACTTCGTCTGTGTAACGTGCATAATTACGTTGCATAATAATAGACTGATCGGAAAAAGTTTTGAATATTAGGTTCAAAGTTTGAATGAGCCAATTCTAGATACGCATTGCCTTATAATGATATGAACAAAGTAATACAATCACAAGTATCAATATTGACGGAAAAAATTCGAATTTCATCGTGAGATTCAATTCATGCTTCTTTACAACGATTTCATTGTTATAAACAAAAAAAAACGGTTCCATTTATGCTACATAGACAGTAACTTTGCTATGTTAAAAAAAACATCCCGCTGGTCGAACCATTATTCGTTGCGAAACTCTTGTTCTTGAGAGTACATAATGAATTAAATTATTATAAACAAAAAGAGTTCGTTTCTGTTCATGTTATGTGGAAAGTAACTCTTTTTCAGTAAAAGGAAAAATATCGCGCTGGTAGAACTTGAATACATTGCACAGATCCTGTTTTCTATGGTTTATAATTAAATCAATTGTTACAAACAAAAAAAATCCGCTTCCATTCATGTTAAATAGTTAGTAACTTTTCTCAGTAAAATAAAAGACATCTCGCTTGAAGAACTCGAATATATTGCATAGATTCCGTTTTCAGTTGTTTATAACAAATGCAAATGTTATACACAATTCGCATAAACAAAAAGTAGCCTAAATTACTTCTGACATCCTCCTATTAATGTCTGCTGAATTTTATCGGAATCCGATGAGCCGTTACTACGACTACTATATGAATTTTTGGTGTTTGTCTGTCTGTCTGTCCGCACTAATCTCTGAAACGATTAATCCAAATGCGACCAAATTTTGAAGATATGTAGAGAGCATTGTCAGATGGTTATAGGCTACTTTTTGTTCATGTAAATTATTCATAACAATTGGATTAGTTATAAACAATTAAAAACATGATCAATGCAATATACTTAAGTTTTTCCGACTAAAAATTTTTTTTTTACTGAAATAAAGTTACTAAACATGCGAATAAAACGAATACATTCATAGATGGTGACGTCTTATGCTGTGACTGGCTATTTAAGTTACTATACAGGTTTTTCTACAGAACTTATTAACTTCCTAGAAGAAAGTTATGGTAATGGATTCGATTTTACAAATCCCGAATTATCTCACGAATAAAATAAATTATATCGACGTGGGAACAATTGCATTCGACGCAAAATCACTCAACTTCAGACTAATTAGGTTTCCAGCTATAAATGAGTGTAGCTACTTTTTATTCAGAATCAAAAAACTTAAAAAAAAGGTAAACTAGTTAAATATTTCAATTAACACAAAAATTTTACCCTCGATCTTTTCAGGGAATTCTGCACCAAATACCTGAAAAGTTCCAACGAGTCAGCATTAAAGAGATCAGGAATGTACATAGGTGTACTAACAATTGGATGTCCCCACGACTAGATGAAATTTCCACTTTCTAGTGAAGAAAATTAACATAATCTCACCAGCATCTGGTTTGTATCTTCTCAGAAAACCTTAAAGAAGATACAGGAATTTCTGGCTGGCTCGTTGAAAGGTGCACCCTGCTGATCTCAAAAAGGGGTGATATATCTAACCCTAACAACTATAGGCCTATAGCATGTCTGAATACTCTTTATAAACTGGGCCCCCGTGTTTACATAGATGTTTCTGTCCTTTAAGATATGTCGCGTAACACGGGGGCAGATTATAGTTCGTCGTGCCCCATTTCGTACTGCTCTATATAGTAGTCTGAATATGGGTACTCCGAACACGCCGAGCGCGAGACGCGTCAGCGACCGCCGACCAAAGCGGATAGAGTTGGTACTACGGGAGTCCAAATTCCAAGCTCTATGCGAACGTCATCGTGGAAAGATCCGAAGACGGACACACGCATAAAGCTGAAGATCTCCTTCGATTAAATGTGCAACATTTAAATAATAGCTTGAAACGGAAGGCCATGGATGATGTTTCTGTTCGTCCATCGAAATTAATTCAAACGGAGCTGAAGTCGAGGGACGTAGATACTCTGACCACCAGTCATCTTCAGCAACTACGAAAAAATCTTTCGAGAAGCAGACTAGCAATTTTCCCGAAAATTCCAAAGACATTTGGAGAAACCCATGATGTTGTTGATAAACTAGCAATCATCAGCAATAAGGGTGAAAATTTACTCTCCGCGAATGACCGGAAAGCCAACATTATACTCTTTACCACTTCCATTAATTTATCGGCACTGTCAGAAATGGACCAAATATTCATCGACGGAACTTTCTACAGTTGTTCTAAACCGTTCAAACAAGTATTTATCATTCACGATCTGCATAAAAATATTTTTATGCCTTTGGCTTTTTTTCTCTTGCCCGACAAATCCAGCTCGACTTATGAACGAGCTTTTCAAATCATTCTTGAACGTATTGGTGCTTTTAATTTATCTTTCAATCCATCTTTGATCCTCGCAGACTTCGAAAAATCCATTCATAAGGCTCTTAATCGAGTTTTTCCTCGTTCAAAAATCATTGGGTGCCGGTTTCATCTAGGCCAAAGTTGTTGGCGTAAAATTCAAGATCTCGGATTAGCTGCTGAGTACCGAACAAATAATGATTTGTCAAATTTCCTGAAAATATTTATTGGACTTCCTCTTTTACCAGTTCAGGAAGTCAGTGACTGTTTCACTGATGATATTATGAGTATACTTCCAGATGATAAAAGAGTCGTAGGTTTCTGCGATTACGTTCTCGAAAACTATATTGAACCAAATTCGCCATTTCCTCCCGAAATTTGGGCTCAACATTCCGAAACAACTCGTCGCACAACAAACAATTGTGAGTCATTTCATTCTAAATTAAATGCAATGTTTAACTCCGCGAACCCTAATTTGTTTCAATTTTTAGAAGCACTCAAATCGATTCAGACCGATATTTTCATATTAAACTTCGAAGTTCAGTGACGACATCCAAAAAAACCCAGGAAAAAGAGAACTTTCTTCGAGAACTCATGCTGAAATATGAAATGAAAATAATTTCTAAAAAATTCCTACCGAATACTGCTCCTTAGACAGCAGCTCCAATCAAAAAACGGCCCTTTTGAGGGCCATAAATATATCCTACAGAAAACCTTATGTTCTATCGAAAGTGTTTAAGGGCAGAATCAACTTGCCAAGTTCTTCAAATAATGTAGAAAAGTCTTACATTTTGATCGCCGATCAGCATTCAAGTCATCTGTAGGGTGGCGCATATTTTTTTGCAGGTGGAGCTAATTTTAAATTCTTTTTTGGTACCTGAATATTCCCTAAATGACCCCGTCCGCAATTGAGACTACGATGGTCAAGACCCCGTCCGCAACTGAGAAATTTTATTGCCCCATTTTTGGGCCTCGTCCGCAATTGAGGTGCAGCCGGGCTTGTTACGTGTATCCCTGAGCCTGTTTCAAGATGCAGGTATACGCGTCGCGGGAAATGCCATCGCGAAGAAAGTAGAGTTATAATTTCCCACAGTTATTACTAGTAAGGGAGGTACTCAATTTCCGTCTTTCGAACGGGGGAAGCAAGGATTCTATATTGCAAGCTAACACTGCTATGCGGTAAGTATTATAATAATTCATTCCATTACAATGAATTCATTAACTGAGGCGTGGATTCTTGTAAGATAAGATTTCATTGCGACAATTTTTTTCCAACATACCTCGATTAGCCTTTTAGCCGCTACCAGCTATTTAATTAATTCTTGAAATTGATTTATATTGACAATCTTCAGATATAATAGAGGTAAATAAAAAAAATAAAGTCGGACATAACAAAAGTACTGTTTTGACTCAGAAAAATGAAAAATTCACAAAAAAAATTATTTGATAGTGTTGAGAAAATCTCAACTTTTGAATTAACCTAACCGTTTAAGGATAGGGATGATTGTGCCGGAACAGAACAAACGGAAGGCAAGTTTTATAAAAAATATATAATCTTTATTTTCAGCACTAATACGTACACAGTATACACTGAACAACTTTTGTCACTGAATACAAGAAATGAATGTCTTTCGAAATCACTGGTTGTCAATTGTAATTACTGAATTTGAATTTTATCAATGCAATGCAAAATGAATTTAATGTAATTTCTTGAATTTACTATCAAATGTCTTGAAATGTTCGTTGATTTCGATTGTAGAATGAAGCTTGAATATTTCTGGTGATTCAGGATAGCACTAGCACTAATCATTGACTCACAAATTCAAGATTTATAGTAAAAGAATTTGAATGGCGTGTACACGTGAATGAGAACAGAAAAAGAATGGCGACAGGAACTTCATTAGTCAAAAGGGACACTGAAAATTAGTCAAATGAGTGACTAGATTAAGAAATATTGATTATTTGGTCGATTGGTTATCGATCCAGTCCCAAGATAGCCGCCGAAGTTCCTCTCAGCTGGCAAATTCAAACTGAGAATTGATTAATTCTGAACAGATAGATTTCTTTTACAATGATTTATATAAGTCTTTGAATCTAACTGAAATATGAAAATGGTTTTGGAAATATTTAGCAAAATAATTAGACAATATTAATATTCATAGAAAAATGTGGAAATTACGTCTTTTAGATTACAAGCTCTCGATGATCTTGACCTTGGCATATGTTGTGAAGGTCAGTACGGTAAACAGAAATGTGTGCATGAGACGACGTGCTCACAATAAAAAAGTGTGGCAAAAATGGAAAAAGAGTATCAGATAGTAGAGGTATTTAATGATATGGGAGAGTGAAAGAGATGATGGGGTGAGTGGGAAAAGTGGAGTCGGGAGTAGAAAAATGTGGTAGAAAGTGGGAGTATGGGAAGTGAGAGTGTAAAAAGTGAGAGTAGGATCAGAAGGGGGAGGGGGGCGTTATATTTCAAAGTTGCCCCTCTTCTCGAGTTGTTAACTAAAAGACACAATTACTATTGTGAATTGTAATTTTATTTTAAAAAAATATATGAATCACCACATAATACTAATATTCAAAAAATTTTTAATTTAGTTCATCATTTTCATAGAATTTATTATTGTTATCGAAGGCATCTATTCTCTTATGAAGCTGCTCAAATATGTAATCCAATAATTTCAAATATAAACAATTAGGTATTACTGAGTCATAGCGATATACGATCACGATAAAAATTAATCGTTACCTAAAAAATTGTTAAAAACATACATTATACGAATTATCATGCAAGTCTCGAATGTACACAACATTTAACAGTAAATTAGTTTTGCCGTAGTTGGAAGTCTTACAAACCTAATTTAGTTTGAATAATTCGCTTAAATAAATTCGAGTTTCGTTAATTCAACTCATTATCCTGCAAATTACAATAAATACAATTATCTTTCTCACTGCTTGCCTACACAGTGTTTCAAGATTGAAATCATAACAATTGTTTAAAAATGAAAAAAAATTTGTGTTACATTCTTACGAAGAGATTGAAAAGTTTACTCTACATTGGTATAACATATGTTTATTACTCCACCCTCTAAAATAACAACATCCTTTGTTATGTTTTTAATTGAATAATTAATTTTAATGAGTTAAATCAAATCGATAATTAATTCTTCTAATATTTTTTTTTTCATTTATAATTAAATTTTTCTGTAAACAATGCTTTTAACGACATTTAATATTTCTTTGCATACTTAATTGCATCTGAAGTATTTCTTAAAATGAAGTAATAATAAATAATAATCAATTTCAAATCTACTTTAAATTTCAATAAAAAATTCATAATTCCAATGATGTCAAAGTGTTCTCATAAATTGCAATCCTAACAACATCTTGAAAACTTTTAGCTGACAACCATAAATTATTATTGGATTGTATCATCATCATTTCACTTTACACGTTTGTTTTCCTATTTATAAAAACAGCTTTATGCTCTAATTATTTTACAATCCATTTACTTTCAAAATGTAGATAGAATTACCATTATCTTTCATTGTCCTAGTCCCTTTGTATTGCCGTTTATTTCCATTCTATTTACATTATTCAGAGAGGGTCTGCACAAGTTCGATGCAAAGCCGTGCACACAAAGCTATAAATTAGATAACACGTGGCAATGGAGCATCATAACGCATGCGCAATCTAGTAACCTATCAGTAATAACAGATTCAGTATCTTTGCTTTTCTCTTCGTCACTTTCTGATACTCTAGTTCTTTCTTCTTCTCACCAAGACCCGCGAGATTTCTACGGTTTACTATTCACCAAAGATACACAGACTCCCGACATTTATCATTTTCATTCAGTACCGAATTGAAAGCAGTGATTTGTAATTAATTGTTTATCTTTCATTGGTATGTTGTGTTCAATTGATTGTAAACGAGTTCTTGTTTATTGTCATAATTTTCATTTAAATGCAATGAATTAACTTCTAAAGAAGATATCTACAATTATTTGTTTCAACTAATGGAAATGTAACTGCTATTTTCAATTACAATAAGCTATATCAGGTCATGTCAACACATCAAACATTGGCTTGACTTCTTTTAAGTGCAGTTAGTGCTGAATGTCTTGCTATATATACACATTACTTTCATGAACATCAAACAGAATCACAAAATATCGTAGATAGTGAAAAAGGAATACATTGAACCCAAGGTATAAATCTAGTGCACCGATTTATGCTAAAAATCTTATCTGTTAATATTATTATCCTAAAGGTAATTGGGAGAGGGTTATCGCTTTAGTTGGTACTTTAACCTATATTCTTGGTTCTGGTCTACAACTTTTAGTGCCAAGAACTCTTACATTTCTGAAAAGTGTCAAGTTTCATCGTCAACTCCTCTGCGCTTCAGGTACAAAAGTCATTTAACTCCATCTTAAAAATCTATTTCTTAGATAGTAGAGTAATCTGTTACTGCTTTGAACTTAATTGCCGTAATTAAATATTTCTATACACATATGCATGAGTGATTATAAGCAAAGAGGAAACCAGAGGAAAACAACGATCTTAGTCTAAAACAAAATTTTTCAAAAAAACAATTTTTTTTTCTACTTTATGACCATTAAAGAATTGAATTAAAGGTCATTTTTTGGTGGTACCACTTCTATCATCTTTAGACGTAACATAATGCAACGATAATTGTCACGTTATGTGGCATTACGCGCTCATTCGTTTTTTATGTAAAAAAACATCTTCGATAAGAGAATTGACTTTCTTCAGTACTTGCCTATCTTTGAAATACAGATAATTTTAATTAATATATTTTTCTCTGGACTAATAGGTACCAAATTTTTAATTTTTCTAATGCCTTTCCTTCATCCCAACTCATCATGATAATATTTAAATTTAATCGAAATAACAGTTTTAATTGCACAAATAATGTAGAATATTTGAGACCTCAACAGTATAATTGACATAAAATACAAGATGGCAGAAATATAAGCAAAATAATTTACAACGACTTGACAAAGAAGAACGCATGCGCTGTGAAGCCTCTGTATACTCGTGTATATGTATAATAGTACATTTCGTATTAACCCTTTGAGTCACAGTGTTACTGCCGGAGTACCATCTATTTAAACCGCTGTTAAAAATGTTCTACTGCATATTTCGTTAGTCTAAACGATTCAATTGCACAAACTTTAGGCCGCCATCTTGAATGTTGCAAATCTAAGCTCATATTCGTGATCAGCATCCACAAAAACCACTGTATGCTAATTTTAGTGAAATTTGATTGAAGTTCACAAATTTGGTCCACCATCTTGGATTTGAAAATTATAAAAATATAACCTCAGATTTGTGATCAGCGACCCCAAAAATCGCCGAGTACAAAATTTGAAAAAAATCATGACTCAAAGGGTTAAGGGAGTAAAACATAGCATTTCTTCCGCGAGGAAAATGTCCCGAGCTGAAGGCGAGGGATGAAATCTCGCGGATAGAAGTACTATATGTTTATTCCCATGGTGTGAATACATCTTTTTGTCATATTGTC